CCCAGCCATAAACACCGTTGGTACTCCCAGAGCAGATCTACGTGGTTTGCCCCAGGGACATGGACACTCGGGGCAGCTGTGCCAGACCCATGTGAGAGCAAGGAGCTGAGGCAGAAGCTCTCCCTGCCCAGCTGCAGTGTCTGAGGCTCCCCCGGGCTGGCAAACGCCCGCACACCCAGCCCCGCACACCCAGCCCCGCGCACCCAGGGCAGCCGCAATGCCGCAGGCCCCAGGCACGACTCAGCCTGCGGGAGCAGAAACGTGGCAGAGCTTTTCCCAGGCAGCTCGGCAGGCTGCAGCTCCTAACACCATCCCAGGCTCCTCCACCCCTCACGTGCATATTGGGCAGTGGGGACAAGCCCAGACAGAGCCTCTCCAGCATCAGGGCCCCACCACTGGGGACACAGTCACAGCCCTGAGACACAGACCACATTGGGAAGGGTGCCAGCAGGGAAAGGGGAAAACCCAAAAGGTGGTGAAAGGGCCCTTGCCTGGCTGAGAGGGAAGGAGAAGATAAAAACCGACCTCTTTGACACTCGAGGTCTTGCTTGCCTGTGTCTCAGTGTCACCATGAGATCAGCACTGCTGCCGTCTTCGCTACCACAGTAGTAGACGGCCTCGTCCTCGGCTTGGACCCCACTGATGGTTAAAGTGCCCGTGGAGCCGGATGCAGAACCAGAAAATCGCGAAGGGATGCCCGAGGGTCTCTGGCTGTTCTGGTAGATCACAGTGACAGGGGCACTGCCAGATGTCTTCTGCTGGTACCAGCCAACATTATAGCTGCTGCTAACCCCGGAGCAGGTGATCTGGACGGTTTGTCCCAGGTTCGCTGACACGGAGGGCGGCTGAGTCAGCGCTGCCTGGACCAGGGAACCTGGAGAGGAAGAGGAGAGAGGGAGAGGAGAGAGAGGAGAAGACAGGGGTCAGCCAGTGCCCCAGCAGCACAGTCCTCCCCAGGCAGTGGGACAAGGATGGAGACCCTGTTCCATATGATCCCAATGTCACACAGGGACCCAGAGCAACACGCACAGAGCCCAAGGCCAGAGCCCTGGCCCTGTGAGGAGAGCTGGCAGAATCAGATACAGAGAGTGCCAGAGGTGGAGAAGGGCCCTGGTCAGGGTATAGGCAGAGTATTTGGCAGTAGAGCCCTGCACATGCCAGAGCATCCCAGCACAGAGGCAACTCCAGCAGCAAGAGGAGGAGGGGGCTACCAGGAGCAAGAGGCAGTGGGTCTGGGGGCAAGGCAGTGCCATGCCTTCTGTAGGGACAGACACAAAGCACCCATAG